CAGGGACAGCAGCCCTGGGCCTCCCCCCAGACATTAGTTGATATAATGGGCTAGACTGGACATGCCATACTGAGAACGTAGGAGGTTGGTAAATCATCCCAGCTCAGTTGAAATAAACCCTGCCATTTACTTTCACAATAGGTTTTCCCTTAAACTCACAAACTTGTTTCTCAGTAACCCTAAAGCAAAATGATCATGGAATTTGAACACAACATTTACCAAGTCCTAATGAATAACATAATTATCACTTTATGCAAATCAAAGATCATTTGCATCTGTGAATATTTAACTATTAAAAACAACACTTTGATCTTGAATAAGTATGTATATCACATAATCATAGCCTTATGGAACATGAAAACTATCTTTTTTTCTTCCTTTTTTTTTTAACTGTACAGTTTTGCTGCACTCAGGTTTGCTGTTTGAACCTTCTCGGCGGGGATTCCATCTATGGATCTTCTTCCTCGAGGATGTCCACTGGGGTCGCTCGATGGCTGTCATCCCAGCTGGGCACATCAGACCTTTCTCTTCAGGTCACTTTGTCAGGAGCAGTGCAGTCTTCTTTCAGTTTGCTTCTTTATTCTCTGGTACTGTCCACTTTGGTGTCAGGAGTGAACCCGAGCTCTGGAATGCAGGTGTCCTGCTGTGTTACACACCACACCATATATATTGCCAAGAGATGGGTACTTTATACATTAATTACAAAGTAAGGGAAGAAGTAAAATTCTACTTGCATATTTAAATTAAGCCACAGCAATGCAGATTTTTCTCTTGGGGAAAGATTACCAGGGATGACAGAGGAAGCATGACTCTTTCACAGGATATTTCCCCACTGAAAGCTCTGAATCTTGTTCATAGGATAGCCTGGACACTTTGGCCAAAGATCTAGAAGTACCTACATGCCCAACACCCACTCATACCATCTTGAAATTGCTAAGTAGCAGCTCTTTGTCCCAGTCTGCAGATTCAAACCTTGCACCGTAAAATGATAAATACCCTGTTTTCATATACTGGAGCTGTTATCACTCGTTGTTGTCCTGGGTTATGCTTCATTCACAATAAAAATTAGATTTAAAGAACCCCTCATCTTTACCAAATAATTCCTTCTCTGCAAAGATCTTCATAGGTTATTAAACCAAGTGAACTAATTATGTGTAACTGGCAACTCAAAATTCCCCCGAAAGCTGTCATTGATTATGGCCCCTGATCAACGAGTAAGTGGCCACAAATGTGCCTACCTGTCGTGGTTTAAACCCAGTCAGGTAACTTGTTCACTCACTCCCAGTGAGTGGTGCCGAGCTGACAACAATCAAGGTCCGTGTTCGTCTCCCCCCCCCTCCCTGCACCGGGGCTCTCCCCTTCCCCGCTCCCGGAGGAACGGGGAGGAGGATCGAGAGAGTGCAACTCCTACGGGTTGAGACAAGAACAGTCCAGCAACAAATCACCACCGCTACTATCAGCTAAAACAAAGATAAGGGAAAATAACAAGGGAAGAGAATACGATACCACCGGCCAAGAAAACGAGTTCCACCCGGAAGCCCCTGTCCTTCCGGGCAACTCCCAGTTACCCCCCACCCCGGGCATGACGTGCTGTGGTATGGAATACCTCCCTGGCTAGCCCGGGTCAGGCGCCCCGTCTCTGCTTCCTCACAGCTTCCCCTCCTCCCTGGCAGAGCATGAGCCTCACAAAGTCCTTGGTCAGGGTAAACATCACTTAGCAACAACCGAAAACATCGGCTTCACCAACGCTGTTCTCAAAACTAGAAGTCAAAACACAGCACTGCACCAGTTAACACAAAGGAAAAAACATGACTGCTACTGCTGAACCCAGGACAATACCAAACTGGGATAAGTAAAGAATATCAGGGTATTCATTACCCTTTTGTTCTATCTGGTGGTTTAATGTGCCTTGCCCAGAATGTGGCCTCTTACACACTGATGGAGACATTCCTTCTCTCCTTCTCTGCTCCCCTGCACCATCAGCCCATCCCAACTCCAGGCTATCAATTACTGCCCTGCCTGCAGTAAAATCCTGTACAATAAGGGGGCCAGAGAGGGACACAAAGCATGTGCTTGACACTAATTTAGCAAAGATGTAGGTGCTCACCTAGGAAAAAAACCACAGGTTCCAGCTCTTAGCTCCAACCCCTGCTTAAGTATTTTGCCGTAAAGAAGTTTTTCCTAAAGCAAAGCTTGGTACCTATGCCTCCTTATTTCAGGTAATCTTGTAATCTTCCTGGGGTGGAGGGGAATCATGCTAAAATTCTTTTATTATTTTATTATATTAGTTTTATTATTAGATTTTATTATTATTATCTAGCATCAGACCAGTGCAAATGCCTTTCACAGGACTGACTGAAGGAGCCCCTCCTAAGGATACCCTGAGAGTCTGTGGGCTCAAATGCTTTCCTATCCTTTCTGGAAACCAAACTTGGGTCATCCCCATCCTGGCGGAGCACACAACCACTGAGCTGTTGCAAAAACTGGGAGTGGTGAGGAAGAAAACAGGTGGTAGCACTTGCACCTCTTCTCATATTTTGTAAGCAAAGGCTGGTGCGGAAATTCAACTCCAGGACTGCCTGTAGTGCCGCAATTCCCAGTTGGACTTTAGTGACTTTAAAGTCTGCGCTGTTTAGAATTTGAGTGTTGGTTTGAACTTTGCAGTTTGGGCTTCAGTCTAGCAAGTGCATATTTTAAACAAAGAAAACAGTTGGCAAATAGTTGATTCTGCATTCAGGCACTGTCCCTCTGCTCCACATGATTTATTTTTAAAAGGGTCTAAGGGAGACACATTTCTCTAAAAATAAAAGGCATCCACATGAGGCTGAATTATTCCTTCACAAACACAAACTGATCTTTTGCTTGTTTCCAAGCACTTAACAAATTGTAACAACAAAGCCACGCTGTACTCCTGAAGTTAATGAGCTTATGACAACACTTTTCGATCCTACCCCTTCCAGCCCCAAGACATACGCATGGCTCCTCTAATCCTTTTGTCCATCAGAATTATATTGTGACCACTGACTTCTGAAACTTTAAAAGTTACTGATAGCATTTCCTACCCACTATGTAAAATTATAAAGTCAACGACTGAGGCGAAAGCAAATGATTGGAGAAGGATCTTAATTATTTTTTAACTATCGAACTTCTTTTTGCAAAAAGCACAGGAAGATCTTGTTCAAATCATTCAAGGCCTCTTAATGTGCATACCTTACAGTTCAGTGATGTGTAAAACAGAAACTCTTGTAGGTCTGTGAAAGAGCCTAGAAAAAAGATACCAGTGCTATTTTGGTATTTTTAACAGAGTGTCAAAAATCTTCCAGCATGTGGTGGGTTGACCCTGGCTGGACACCAGGTGCCCACCAAAGCCACTCTATCACTCCACACCCTCAGCTGGACAGGGGAGAGAAAATATAAGGAAAGGCTTGTGAGTCAAGATAAAGACAAGGAGAGATCACTCACCAATTACTGTCACAGGCAAACAGACCTGACTTGGAGAAATCAGTTTAATTTGTTACCAATCAAATCAGAGTAGGATGAGAAATAAAACCAAATTGTAAAAAACTCTCCCCCAACCCCTTCTTCCTGGGGTTAACTTTAGTCTCGATTTCCCTGCCTGATCCCCAACAGTGACACAGCAGGATGGAGTATGGGGGTTGTGGTCAGTTCATCACATGTTGTCTCTGCCACTCCTTCCTCCTCAGGGAAGGCCTCCTCACACTCTTCCCCTGCTCCAGTGTGAGGTCCCTCCTATGCGAAACAGTTCTCCATGAACTTCTTCAACATGAGTGCTTCCCATGGGCTGCAGTTCTTCATTAACTGATCCAGCCTGGTTCCTTCCACAGGGTGCAGTCCTTCAGCAACAGACTGTTCCAACATGTGACCCCCATGGAGTTACAAGTCCTGCAGCACACCTGCTCCAGCGTGGGTTCCTCTCTGCACCGGTCCTGCCAGGATCCTTGCTAAAGCAGGGGCTTCTCACAGGGTCACAGCCTCCTTCAACCATCCACCTACTCTGGCATGGGGTCCCCTACAGGCTGCCAGTGGATATCTGCTTCACCATTAACCCCCATGGGCTGCAGGTGGGTATCTGCTTCACCACTAACCCCCATGGGTTGCATGGGGACAGTCTGCCTCACCATGGTGTTTAGCATGGGCTGCAGATCAACCTCTGCTCAGGTGCCTGAAGCACCTCCTCCCCTTTCCTCACTGACCTTGGTGTCTGCAGAGCTGTTCCTCTCACATATTCTCACCCCTCTCTCCAGTTTCAATTTCAGTTTCCTGCACAGTAACTTTTTTCCCTTCTTAACTATGTTATCCCAGAGGCACTATCACTGTTGCTGATGGTTTTGACCAGTGGTGGGTCCATCTCACTGGCTCCATTGGACACAGGGGAAGCTGTTAGCAGCTTCTCACAGAAGCCACCCCTGTAGAACCACTCCTCTCCCCCCTCCCCCCCCAAAAAAAAAAAAAAAGCCTTGCCATATTAAACCAAAACACAGCATATGTTGAATAAGTGACTCTTCTGTTTACCTGCCTAACACAAAGCATCACCTCTGTGCTGTATGTATAAAATCAGTCTGCTGGGCTATCTCCCTCCTCCTCTGAGAGCTGCCCCTCAGGAGGGCATCCAGAAGTGACCAGCAAGAGTTTATGCTTGAGCATCTTGATTCAAAACGTGTAGAGAAACAGGTGAAAGAGGATGTGAATGCAAAGTATGTTTGTCATTGCCCCCCCCCCCCCCCCCCCTTTTTCAGAGGTATAGAACAATGAGGCCCAGATGTTATGGTTGCAGGAATGCTAAAAATTGCATAAGTTATTTTGCAGGCAAGAAAAGCCACAGAAGGTCAGGCCAAACAGGCTTAGGGTTTGTGCAGGGCAGGAGCTGTTCAAAATGAATGTTTTTAGTGTGCAGTATCCATTACCAATTGATGTCAGAGATCCTCTTATAGATGGATCATCTAATGTTTTTTCTTAGAAGGCAGAAAAATAGCCATGGCAAAGTTTCAACACATGTATTTGAAGGGAAAGTTGGAGTTATGGAGACAGAACTTCTGTTTTGACCAGCTAAGAATGGCAAGTTTGAGCTTTATCCTGCTGTCTTTCGTTCCCATGGTAGAATGATTACCACTGAAAAAAAGAAGAAAGTTGGAAACTTCTATGCTGTGTAAGAAAAATCTTCTGGAGCTCTATTTCTGGATGATAAGTGAACCAACCCTGCTTTCATCTAGTAGCCTGCTGTCAAGTAAGCAGGTTTGAACAGGCTTGGGTTTATTAGTACATAAAGTGCAGTGTGTGTTGGTCTGTGTTTCTAGGACAGTTTAAAGTTCAAGGTTATATCGAAGGCAGAACCATGTGGATAGTTTGCAAAGAACCACTAGCCTCCAGCAGCTTCCAAAAACTGCTGTGTTCGCTCAAAATGATAGCCAAACTATGGGCATACGGCTGTCTCCTGGCTCAAGCAGGAGTTGTGGCTTCTTTGCCAGGATGTTTCCCATATCACAGGGGTTTCCCATATTAATGTACCTACACGCCAGTGTCTGCAGCAGTGTCTGCTGGAGCTCCAACTGCTCCAGGCCACATCTGAATCAGAGCCCCACCTATGTCCTCTGCTTTAACCCCTCTTGTGGCCTCCTCAGAAAAGTTTCCTATCCCTTTTCCCTGACATCCAGAGTAGTTTTGGGAAAAGATCAAGCAGGTTTGATAGTCTGAGATAAAGATGCAAGGACCAGTAGGACTCTGGTGTCCCCCAGGAGTGGGAACCTGGGTGCACCTCAGGACTTCAGTAGCTCTTATGCAGCACCTAGCTCTGCCTTGGCCATTCCACTAACAGTGTGGCCATTGGCAGGACATCAGCTCCCTACCCCTGGGGGCAGAAGGACCATACACCCTTGGAATTTCCCCCTGTCCTCCCCATTAGTGCCAGCACAGCTGCAAACGACTTTCAAGCATTATTTCCCCACTCAGAGCTCCTATTTCCAGTCCATCCTGCCATGCTCACCCTCACACCCACATCTCACGCTCTCAGTTACCCACTGTCAAAACTTCTGACATAAAGAAGATTAACCAAAAAGCCAACTAATGTCTTCCTCCCATTTAAAACAAAACAGAGCAGGAGCAGAGAGCTTTTGTCTTGGCTAAATAGGGTCATACATTCAGTATTTTCCCCATTCGCAACAAGCCCTATCTCCTTGCTTTCCCTATGGCCCCTCTGCAATAACATTTGGGAACAGGTCTTGCTCTGTACCAGCAAAGCCAGACTATAAATGGAGAAAGGTGACGTTTCCCCAGTGCAAACACCTTCCCCTGGCTTCAGTACAAGAGCTTGCTAATGATGAGTCTCTGCTAGGCACAACCTTTGGTAAGACAAAAATCAGGGTTTCATTTACTCACATTTCCTAGGATTTCGCTTTCGTTTGTCCATAATTTCACACAGGCTTTAAGCTTTTTTGCTATATATATCTCAAGTAGAAATCCGTTTAACCAGAATTCCCTTAATAAAGGTTAAAAAATTTGCAGTGAAGAAATGTCAAAATACACTAGCTTATAATTGCCCTCAAATATGCAGTTTTATGTATTTACTTCATGGAGAGGAAACTTGGCATATATTTAATTAAAGAAATGGAGCCTGCAGGAGGTCTGAGAATGGAGCTCATTGTATTTTGGTTTGAGGTGAATTTCACAATCTACTATATAGTTTTATTAATCTCCCCAAGCATGAACAAACTCCAGCTATTTCTGTAGAAAATGGGAAGGAAATAAAACTTAGAAGCCCTTGGAAGTGGTTTTAAACATAGCAGGAGAAATTACAGTATTTAATGTCAGAATCTAGACAATTATTACAGAAAAAATGGCTGCATGTGAGAGAAATAAACCTTTGAACCAAGACTGCTAATTGATACTTCAACAAAGGAGACATTTTGATGAAATAGAAATTCTGAAATAGACTTTTAGCACTTTAGTCAATTAACCAACAATAAAGGTTACAGTCAGCACCGGGAAAACCTACAACATGATTCCTGTTGACATCATCTTTTTTGATTAAAACTAGAAAGGTTAACCTGAAGACCTGCAGAACAGGAACCCAAGAAGTGAAGCTCTGGTGAGCTACCGAACACCAGCTACTGGATCCAAGAAAGAGTGCAGAAATATGTCACTTAAAAGGTTAGTTGGAGGCTAATATACAGCCACAGCGCAACAGCACACAAAATGGTGCCACGCCAGTTGGAAGACCACGAGACTTGTGGACTACCTTTGATAAGAGGTGGAAAACCTGATCTCATGATGCAAGTAAAAATAGGAAATGCACACATATGATACTGTGTGTGCCAGGACTAGGGACATGTGCATGTGGGGAGCGCCACTGTGAACTATGCCACATGTCACATCGTCAATGAAAATTACCTTCTCTCCTTTGGAAGGGGGAGAGTTTTAAGACCTCAGTGAGGCTAGCAAGGGGTGGGTCTGGGGTATTTATAGGGCAATCTGTGACAGGAGCATGCTGCTATAATCTTTGTCTTGGCTAAGGGAAAAGCAGTACTCTGTCCTGAAACAAAGACTAATGCTTTCCTCCTCCTCTTTCTTCTTCCTGAAATGCTAGAGCTAGAGAAAAAGTGACCAGAGTGGTAAAAACACGAAACAAAATGCTAAAAAAATGTGACTAATTCCATTTGTCAAGCAGGCTCAGGTGTTAGAGAGTTGTAGGTCTAAAAACCCAAGCCAACCCTGTTAATTTTCATTGCTTTACTCCACTTCTACTTTTTCTCATAGGAAAGAGAGTATGGAGGTTAAAATGTGTGGGAATGGAGATATTTTCCACTGAAGTAAATGCAATTTAAGTGTAAGAAGGGAAAATATAAATTTCCATGATGAAGCAAAGAATTTAAGAAACATCCCATACAAACCCAACTTGTTCATTAAGAAGAAAAAATGTCTACAAATATATTTATCTTTCCCTGGCTGGTAACTGAAATACTTATTGATCTATAAACCCAGAGTCATGTACCAGTCGGAATACAAGCATTATCTCTAAACAGCTCCCTTCAAGTCCCACACACATGCCAGAAAGTATAAAGTAGGCTGAGTTTAACAGCACAAAGGCCTTAAGCATATATTTTCAGCCAGAGGGAACTCCTTACAGAAGATCTGAGACAAAGAGCTCTGTGTCATAGGATCACAAGGCTTGATTAATTGCGTGTGCATGCGTTAGCCAGAAGTACTTCTTTCCTCACTGTTCAACATGTTCATAGTTGAGGTAAAAGAAAATTTCACACCAAAAGAGAAAAACCACACTGTTGTAATACCTAACTTCCATCTACCCCTGTGCATACTGGAATCCTCAGCCCTGGGTTAGAGACACAGGCATCCCAGTGTGCCAGGTGTGGCACGGGGGACAGAGTAAATCTGATACCTCAGGATGGGATTAGAGAAGCTGGAGATGAGAAAACAGAAGCTGACCAAGCTGGCAGCAAGAAATGTCTACAAGAGGCCTTGTGGTGTAAAGTATTTAGTGGTGAGGCAATTAAGCAGAGGCAGTTACATAGCTACTGGTGGGAGAGAAGGTGGCATCTATCTCCTTTGGGAGTCTTGGCTGTAAATCCTCCCCTGGAGATCAGAAAATACTGAAAAACAACTAACAGTTATCTCCCCCATGTTTTTTCCTTAGCCACATAAGAGGTAGGAAATCTGCTTTCAAGTCTTCCTCCTCTCTCCTCACCCACACACCTGATTAGAAAGCAGGTTTGAACCTTGGTCTCCCACTGAGGAGAGTGGCCTCACCACCACCTTCTCAGGTATTTGGGAACAGGACTTTCTTAATACCCTCTTGCTGAATCTGGTGTACTTTGCCATAGCTAATTAAATACCTGCATTCAATGATAAACAAAACCTGATTCTTACACCTTTCTTTGTAAGGCCAGAGGATGAGGATATTCCCCCAGGATGTGAGAGATTCAAGTTTAAATCACTATTCCTGAGGAGATGGGCCCAGATGTCTAGGATGAAAGGCCTGGTTTCCAGAAGACTTTAAGGCGTTTCCCACTCCACTAGGCATGTTCAGAGCATGCCAGGAGGTGATCCCATGTGCTTTCCTGCACCACTGTAGTATCAGCTGTACATGAAGAATCCCTCATAGGCACTCACGTTGCTTAAAATCTCTGGGGATAGATACTCCATGACCTCCTCAAGCAATCCACTCCAATGATCCCCTTTGAAGCAGTTTTGAGCAAAGCAATCTTGGTGACACTTGAACACTAGGGCATAAATACCCTTTGTACAACTAACTCCTGGCTCAGTCCAATGTACTCCACTTTCAAAGGTGGCTGTTAACTATTGATGCTCCCAGTGGATGTCTGATGGGTCACATATCTGCCCAGGAAATCTAGCTGGAGCACTGCTCCTCTCCTGGATCACTGCAACAGGAGTGATCACAAGAGTGCTTGTGCTCCTAGCACCACAATAAGTAACAGAGCAGAAGAAGCATTTTGCCAGGGATAGGAAAGACTGACTGTTCCTCCACCTACTTTCAGTAGCAAGGGGAAGCATTAGAGTCCTCTTAAAGAGGAGAAAATACATGGACATGAAAACAGGGTGGGAGGATGAAACCTGTCTGCATCAGGCCTCCTCCTCCCTCCGGTACTACAGATGCCCTATCAAGAGGAAAAGGTTACGTAATGAAAGAAGTCTGCCTACAAAGCCTGCTGCTACAAGAGTTTGCCAAGAAAAGACTCGAGAGAGAGTGCCATACAACAGCCTTAAAGTGGGACATTGCAAGCTAGAACCTCAAAGCAGGATCTCCGACTACTATCCTAGAAGGGTTTAAAAAGATAGAAAGACCACTGAATCAGCCAGAAAAAGCACATAATGGGACATCCCTGGAGATTTTCACTCATTGATGTTACTGCTATTGCAAATAATAATAACAATTCTCTTTCTTTTTGGTTACTTTAGAGTGTGGAGGCTCGAGTGACCAGAGCTGGCTGTATTTGGAATCCAACCAGCAAGGAAAAAATTTGAATCTAACAGTATGATGGACCAATTATCACACTGAAATTCTTTGATGTTCAGTGACTGTCATCTCCTTAGGCCCTTCTAACGAAGGCCAACAAACAAAGAGAAACAGTGTTGCTGGCCACTGGCTTCATGTTTTCCAGGTAGCTTTGTCTTGCCCTGGTTTTGTTTCAGTTCTGTTACTCTTACAGCCAGGACCTGCATATGCACTGGCATGAAGGAAAGAAAATGGAGGTGTTTAAATACTTAGCTGCTCAGTGAACCATGAAATAAAACAGTCCTGATTTGATTGAAATTTTGGTTGACAGTTTGAGACTGCCAGAGACAGATGCCAGTAAGACTGTTAGTGTTCTCTAAAGTGGCCAACTTCTGATACTTCACTGATACTTCTGGAACCGTTTATCATTTGCACATACATGTATTAAATATACATTGCTGTCTTCCCTTGGGCATTGTGATTCACATGCTGATGGTATCAGGAGATCTACAGCAAGATGAGGACCCACGTGATTTAGGGGGTATCAGTGCATTTGCCTATGTCTGTCTAAAAGAAAACTAGAAGCTAGAAAGCCCTGTGCCCCCTTTTTGAGCAGAGAGCTGAGATACAAGCAAACTGACTTATTCAAGATGCCACAGGCAATCTATGGTGGGGCTGGGAACCAAATCCAGATTTCCTGAATCCTATCCAGTGTCTTAACCTCAAAAGCATCCTTTCTCACTAATCAGGTATATCAGACGACTCATCAGACACCTATACATATATATGCTTACCCTCAGATCTGTATACCTCTGTGGTCCTGAAAACTAGTTTGTTCTCTCCTGCCTCACCCACAGAGCTTTGATAAGGTTGTAAAACCAGCTTAAAGACTTCCTTTGTTCTGATGACAGGCGCTGCAAATAGCAGCTCTACCCAAGACTCTGACCTTGCTCTTGAGGTCCTGAAAGATGAAACAGATGTCAGATGGGCTATATCCACAGGGAAACTTCCTCACAGTTTGTGCCTTTTAGGTGTCTGTTGAAGAATTGGTGGCTGGATGTGTCATCCTAATGAAGGCAGTGTAGGCAAACTGCCGAAAGAGGCTCATCAGCAGTTCTCCAAAGCCACCTTACCTGTAGACAGAAGGCAGGAAGGACATGGTCTGTTAAAACGTGCACAGGTCTCAAAGAGAAGCCAAACAGTCTAGCAGCTGCCAGAAATCATGGCCAACTGAAGATCATGTTACTTTACCCTCAGTAAATCCCACCAGATTAGAGAAGCACAGACTCAACAGTGAAAACATGACTCAAGAGTTTCGACATGAAAACAAATTCCAGGTGAATTTGTTAGCATTAATTAGTCAATCTTCATGAGCAGAAGATCTGTCTTTCTTTCTTTTTCCTTTGAGAGCAGTTGCTGCAGACTTTGTCTCTAGGTGTGATCGAAGTCTGCTGTGTTAAAAAGAAAGTTGACAGAGGTAGCAATAGGCATGACAGGAGCATATGAGACTTCTTAAGCTAATCATTAAAGCCCAGGATCAAGAAAGCAAGTGCTTACATGTGCCTCTGACAGTCCTGTCAAGCCAAGAGAAAAAGGGGAGGTGGGGGTTTAACTCCTGAAAAAGTCACAGCTGAAAAGTGAGGCTGGTGTGATAAGATGGCAACTCCAAAAAAGGTGATTCAGGCAGTAATGTATGTTGGTATTAGCTAAAACCATGAAAAGCACATAAGGAAAATGTTGTGAAACTGGCAAACCTTATGGAATTTAAGAAGAAATCAACAGTTTGAGAATTAGCCTATTACCATCAGAAAAAAACACTTTGGAAAAATTAACAAGGGATAAAATTTTATAACTGCTGTAGCTGGTGGTAAAACTTCTATAGATCTCAGTGGTGCCAAGACTTCATCCTAGGAGCTTTGTCATAGGAAAAGAAAACACCACTATTCTGACCAACTGAAAGTCTTGAATAGGGATAGCTCAAGCTTTTCAGCTTTTCCACTTTCACTATTTCCACCACCCATGGATTTTCTGAGCTCCCCATAATACCAGTGTCATTCCCAAAGACTAGGATAGCATGTGGGTACATCAGCGCTCCACACTATAGTGCTTAAGTGAGTTAGCTCTAAAAGAACTAGCTTGAGGACGAGAAGTAATCCAGATTTATTAGCATGGTGCTCTACCTATGCTAATTTATTGTGCTAATGTAGCTATACCACTTCCAGGTATCCCTGAACTACACAGTGTTGCGAGATCTGGATCTGCCAAGAACACAGATGTGTCAGCAGGTTGAAGAGGAAGGCCTGAGACTAACAAGGTGGTTGGTAATGTGAGGTACACCAAAGGAGGCTATTACTGTGGGCTGCCTTAATGCCTTCTAATTTTTTTAATTAAAGCTTGGTTACAATATCCTGTAGGGAAAAATCCCTTGCTGGCAAAAAGTCTAAGCTGAAAAACCTCACAAGCTCTTTTCTGGCATTAACGTATATTACTCTAAGTAGCAGTCCAGCCCAAACTTGTAGGAGAATAAAGCTACCACACTCCTACCGCAAAGACTGCTGTTCTTTGCCAGTAATTGCTGTTTTTCCATATACAAGGACCAGATCATCTACTTTCATTCAAAACGACTTATTTTAGATTAAGGGAAAACAGCAGTAAGAAGGTGGGCTGGAATTTAAATGCAAGGTCTCCAAGAGAGATCAGCGCGGGTTCGCTTCCGCAACAGGCCGGAGCAGGCAAGAGGAAGATGGCTGCTGCCTCTGCACACATGCAGAAGTTCTTTGAAATTCCTCATGTTGCTGGCAGGCTTAAACATTTCATTTATTACATCGGCCTCTCAGGGCTCCCAGTCATTTGGCTGTGCTGATATCAAGCCTCGCAAATGGCTAAAATCCAATCAGGTAGCGACTGTATATGTCTTTGTACTTGGGATCAAGACAGGCACCCAGCTACTTAAAGGTTTGGCTCCAGGAGACCAGCAATGCTGATGCTGCCAGTGCTGTCTCCATGAGCACCCTCTGATACAGCTAGGTCTGAATTTCCCCACCTGATCATGTCCAAGCGCTACCTCGTGTTGCACGCTGAGAGAGCAAGTTATATGGGGAAGAAAAGAAACATATTGTTAATTCTGTGTTTGTATCATCTCAGTTGCAGTCTACAGCCAGATCCCATTGGTGTTACTGTAATACAGCACTAATAACAGCAAACCAGAGAAATAACACGACCACAGTGAAACCTCTGCTGGAGTTATCTTGGGGGCAAGCTGCCCCCAGTAAAGGCAGCTGCTGGCAGCTGCCTGCTCTCCCCGCTGGAGGGTATGGCAATGCTGCGAGAAAGCGATTGATCTGTGGGGCTCCACACCAGAGCAACAACCTGATTTATGGTTATGTAGCTGCACTAGATAAAAGAGCTGTGGCCTTTTCCTTTCAGCATAGGTGTGGTCATCACTTAATTATTCCTGAGAAGGTGGAAAGCATTAAAACCTCAGGAAACTCTTGAGCAGTGAGTGTGAGAGTAAAGACTATAGGCATTAGGCAGCTAAAATTACCTAAGAATTAATTCTACTTTCTCTGAGGCTCTGCTCGTTTCCACCCCACACGCACGTACACTCTGGCACGCACAGACAAATACATGCACGCAAATACTAAACAAATACATTCACCTTGAGAGCATTATTGACTATTCGATATGGTCGGATTGCTTAAGTTAAAAACTCTCCAAAGAAAAGAGTTTGCAGATTTCTGTCAGCCAGAGATCTATTACTCATGCTCAACCATCTGGTATTTAATGAGAATATGACAAGCTGATTGTTATTTTTTTTTCACATGGCGAATTGAAAAATGCGACTTTTTGATCTGTATTTTAATTACACCCCCTCTGATCTCTCTCCCTTGCACTTTCTTAGTAATGAATTTGGAGAGTTAACACACTCTGACTTTCCATATTAGCCCTGCTTCTTGAATGGCTAAAAAAAAAGTCATTTCTTTACATTTCTCTGGTTCACCTGTGATCTGCAGAGGTTTAAAGAAAAATCTTTTCCTTCCAGCTGAAGAGCCAGGGAAGGGTTTCTGATGAGGTGAGACTGCTTGCCTCTGCAACCACCCTCAGTCCTTCCTGGCACCCTGTTTTCTCCATATCATTTTAGGCCTCATGGAAGGGGAGTTATTTCACGTTACAGGTCTCGCTATTGTCAAATAGGATCATGGTTTTGTTCAAATGCTGGAAACATAATAAGAAATAAAACCAAAACAAACACAAACCCCACTTTTGCCACAAAAAGAGGGGAAGATGTTGGAAGCCCTGGAAATGGGGATTTTTGTCAGACTGACCCCGCTCTATTTATGACAGGTTGCTGACTGCTTAGTCGGGCCTCATGCCTATAGCTGCATCTAAATCAGACTATGTATGAAAGCGTGACTTTAAAGGGACTGGACCCAATCACATGACAAGTTTTTGTCCAAGTTCCACTATCATGTGACAATCTACAGTAGATTTATGAAATTAAGCACAGATGGCTACTTTGTTTTTGTTCTTTGAACTGACAGCTGCTGGTGTAAAAATAAATTAAATTAAATTTCATATAAGTCAGACATTGCAATTTTTTTTTTTGTTGTTAAATAATCTTTAAGGTCCCCCCCCCACATGCACACACATACATTTTAATGTTTTACTGGCTCTTGCTTCTCACCCCATGCTCCTGGCATACCCCCAGGAGCCTTCCCCAGCCACCCTGGCAGTGACCTCCCTTCTCATCTAGGCACACACTTCCCAAGGGACATCAGGCATCCAGACCGTGTCCCCAAACAGACACTGAGTGGCAGTGGGGACAACCTTTGCCAAGCCTCGCCAGTGGGCATAGCTGAAGCAGGGCCATTTAAAGCCACTTTCCATCAGGAAACCCAGTCAAAAGGAGGGAAAACCCCATGAATTCTCCACCCTACAAGCCTGCGGGAGAGTATTCCTAAACTCTTAGGAACTGTCAGTTCTGAAAGACTGCATCTGCCAACAAAAGTAGGAGGGTTGTTGTTAACTGAGCTGCTAATAATCCAATATATAGGGAAAAATGAAGGAAGATCCTTCTAGGTAAGGAAAGTAATGGCAGGAGCATAAAAGAAAATGAGCCGACTTTTTAAGAAAACAATGTTTCAGGATTAGCTAAAGGGTTCTCCTGTATTCACAAATCTCCAGGGAGCACTTTAAAAGTCTTCTGTGTTTGTATCACTTAAAGTGCTGCTATTTTAGGTCAGTGTAAATAAGTCATGTGTGCCTTCAGCCTTGTACGAGTGCTTTCTGCTGCTTAATAATATATGTGCTTGTCCATTATAGGGGCTACATGGGTATGTGTTGGGATCTAGAGGCAGTCATGCAAAGATCCTGTCTTTGGTATGGCTGCTTAATACTTTGAGTGAGGGCATGGGGTACATACTTGTGATGACCTAGAGCAGAGCAAAAGCTAAACCTAGCTGTGAGCACAGCGCCCAGTAAATAATTAATAAAAAACTGTCTCATGGTATCACTGCTTTCCTCACAACAATCCAGCACTATTATCTTTTTTTTCATTTATACAGAGATATCAGGGTTTGAGGTAGCAGGGGGTTAACTGACCACATCAGAATACCTCCATTTGAATTACACTTCAGCATTTTGCTGCGGTTTGGTGGGTGTTTGGGAATTATGTTTCAGATTCCCTCACGGAAGTGCTTGGCACAAATGATGCAGCATCCTACAGGACATAGCAAGCAGAGCATCTCAGGCCTGATATTCCCTTTGAATACAGAGAGATGCTGAGTTCCAGTCTCAGCTGTGGTTTGGGCATCCAAGAGACTCCCACCCCTGTGAAAACTATTCAGGTGGCCTCAAGTGAGAGCAGGACACTCTGAAGCTGAGAGCCTCACTGACCTGATATTCGCAGCTCCTGTATTGTTCGCTCCCTTTTGTGTCCCTGCTCTCTCTGGGTCTCTTTTTCCATTTATATAATGGATTTGTCAGTATGGGGACTCTCATTATAAGCTTATCCAGAGATTAGCACAACAGGGTCCTGTTCTCCATACCTCTCTAGGCAGGACAGCAGCAAAAAGAATTAGTTTCACTAAGAGTCTAAACTGTACAATAGTGTCATGCAACAGTCTGAAGACAGAACAGAGAGCATGAACTCTCTAGATCTCAATCATTTGATCATTTTGCAAAGTTACAGTGAAATGCATAAGCAATTGCAAAAATGTAAGCCTGTCTATGTTGTGTAATTACTGAGTTAGTGCTGGAAAAGCACTCAGGTGTTGGGAACCGTTAAGTCCTGTTAACCCATCTGCATATTGCTGCATCCAGCCGGGTAGGTATCCCACTGAATGCAAAGTGTGTTCTCATATTCTGATGCAGTTGCTTTACCTGGGAGTTTGAGGGGAGAAAATGGGTTAAAGTGCCTGTTTTCCCTGTTGGGCATCTGCAAGAGGTGATATGATTTAACATAAGGTGTCCCTGCCATGGCTGGAACTAGATGATCTTAAGGTCCTTTCCAACCCTAACGATTCTATGATTCTATGATTTTGCCTTATGCTCCTGTGATTTTGCTCTCAGAGAAGTCAATTCAGGTTTGCCATTCCTCCAACAGAAGGAAAATCCACCCAATAAAAGAGCAAACTATCATACTGGAAAAGCTAAATCTCTTGAGTCTGACTTGCTGTGAGGGAGATGCCAAAATACCTTTACAAATCTGTGCCTCAGTACCAGTGTCAGTTTTGCGAGGTGCAAACATTGTGATTCTGAGAAAAAAATGAAGAGGGTTTTGGTAGCAAAAAACTTGCCCAAACACACCTCAAGAGACCTGTGAAGGCTGCTGAAACTGAGCACAATGTCTGCAAAATTAACAGCAGAAGAGTTATCTGGCGACAGAAAACAGTACAAAGAAAAAAAAATTATTTAGCTTAAAATGGTCCTTTACTTTTCCCTTCAAATGCTACAGATCTGATTTCTTTGACAGAAAAATAAGTATGTGTGTGCATCTATATGGCGAGTTTTAAGGAGAGGTTTAAAAACAAGGTTTTTAAGCAAAAACAAAGGCACATCAGTTAATAAGCATGCATTAATGTTGAAAAGGCCCCATAATAGTATTTCTTGTGCATATGTGGGAGTGAGGGATTGTAAGAACAAGTGGTGGCTGGCTGCCTGGGTTTATCAAAGCCTGGTAGGGCAGGATCACCTCTTTGTCTTCGCTGTGCTCAGAGTCATCAATCCCTCCTGTTCCTTCCGGAGCTGTGAAAATGTCAAGGGAGAAACTCCTCCTCCTCTAACAAAACCCAAGTGCTGTGAAAGCCCCAGCGACATGCAAACACCCCCCATGTCGGGCTGCTTGGCCAGGCCTGGGGAAGCCGAGCTGGCCCAGTCCCACCAGCTCTGCGGGGCAGAGGGGCTGGATAGAGCTCCTGCATGGTGGGATCTCACGGCCCGGTGGCCCTGCACCCTCCAGGGCTCGCAACCCTCTGCAAAGCACGTAAGGGCAGGCCTGTCCGGGCACCATGGGAAGGAGACGGACTTTATGTGACCCCTGAGCTGGGGATGGCCACATTTCCATGCCCTGACAGGGCAGTGCTGGAGGCAGTTTTACTTTATGGTTGAGCTCACACCTGAAACCACAGCTTCCAAATAGCCTCGAGCACACCCTGCTCCTCAGCGTTCCTGCCTCTTCTTCCTTCCCACTGCCTCTCTGCTTAGTTGCAGACCCCAAAGTCGAACCCTTTTTAACAAGGCAACCCCCAGCCTGCCTACCCTACTTCCCCAGCCTGTAAACAAGATCCCTGAGCCGGCTCCATTGTTTATGGAGGCCCCGGGGAGTTACAAGGCACCTCAAATACAGCAGGAGGGAAAAGGGTCTTGCTGCCCCCTGGGACTCAGCGCCCTGTGGAGAGCTGTAGGTGACTGCCCTGGTCTCTCTGCAGAAAGGCAGGGTCTGTCAGATGCTGTGATGGGAGGCAAACAGGGCAGATGGAGAAGAATGCAGACAGGGGAGTGGGGATGGCTGGAGGGGCAGAGAGGCAGCAGGAGAGTGGCCAAAGGTGGGAGGAAAGGTTGGAGGACTAGGAGGAGGGTGGAAAGGGTGATGAGGTGCAGGATGACACGGGAGATGTAATCTAAGGCAGCCCTCCAGGCTGGGAACCAGGTGACTGAGCATGATCACAGCACCTGCAGCGCAGCCCCCACCCAGAGGTAACGCTGCTCATTAGCTCACTGCCAAAGCTCTCTTAATCAATGTAGCCCACATGCAAAAGGTTGAACACCAAAGGGAGAAGCTCGAACAAGCATTGCTCCATATGCTGGTGTTGACAAGCTGGAATCACAGACTTTCATTTTGTCTTAACATGGTGGGATGCTGGGACAGCATGGCGGGGCTTTATGCTGCCTGCTTCCACAGCAGGACCAGCGGCCTGAGCTGGTGGCTGAGGGAATGCCAGCCCCTTGCCACAGTGTGAACGAGTGATGGTTTGTGAAGGTACCTGTGCAGCTCTGTGGCCTTCTTCTATGTTCAGATGGGGGCTGCGTGCAGAGCAGTATTTTCCCAAGTGTGCTCAGCCTGAGAGTCAAATATTTCTCTGCTCTCCATTTTATTGCAAAATGATTCCACCAGAAACATCCAGCACAGGAAGTGATTTGATGAGGGAACAGCCAAAGACAAGAATCTGAACCAGGTAAAACCCCAGATCAGTAGCACAGGATTAAACATAGGGTTTGCCCCAGCTTGATAGTCTTACTGTGCTTGTAATTAAAAGTCTCTTTTCTTCTGATTGCAGAGATAACCTTCTAAGTGTTGCTAACCATAAGCCAAATCAGTCTCATACACTGAAGCCTGCATATATCCTAGAACAACAAATACCAGTGAGAAATGGATACCATCCTAATGTTGTCCACAAAGCATCATCGTTGTGCCAACAATTCTCTGTTTAAGTGTTCAGCTCTTGCTTCCCTTTGCTGCTGTTGGACATCCCAGCACAAACTGGTGGTAACCTTTTCAGTGTGGTGCTGGCTTTGCCAGGAATGCTCATGACCCCCAACTGTTTTAGATCATGTGAGATTGTGTGCACGGGACAGAGAAAAATGAGATTCCTCTTCTGTAAATTCTACTTAAAATTCCAAAATCTGACCTTACCTCCTGCTTCCCCTACATTGCCCAGATCCCCTCCTTTCCATCCAAAGTAACCAGTACCCCACAGCACCTCCCTCTTTGTCACTTAGGAGTATTGACAGCATGTTAGGGAGAAATTGAGGGTATTTATGTAGTAAAATACAATATTTCTACAGCGGTAGGTGAGGAGACAGGTGGATTAATCTATTGAGGTGCATCCTGCAGTAAAAGGATGAGGCCATGTCATGCTTTCTTCCCAAAGAACACTGTTAGACAGTGCACTTGCTGTGCTCAACATAGTCCACCAGTCCTAAGGATCTCATCTTTGGGAAGAAGAGCCATATGACCATATTGCCTTCAGCGTTTCCAGGGACAGCAGACAGGGAGCTATTCCGAGAGGCAAGTCAGTAACTGCCTCATGGCACAAGCAGGGATAGGGGAGATAACCTTAGTGGGAGGCTCAACAACAGCCAGGACTGCCCCACATGCCTCCCTATCCCACTGCATGCTCTTGTCTGCCTGTCAGCCCCTGTTTCCTTCTCTTATGTCAACCCCCACGGCACAGGCAGGGGAATAGGTCAACCCAGTTTCCTAGAATAGAGACACATACTTCTGCACCACAGCTAGCTGTTGCAGCCTTTGGGAGTTGCTATCCTCCCCGCACAGGAAAAATACAGTGAAAGGAAGAGGCTCACATCCCACACAAATTTAGGAAAGAGCTATCTTCTGGTACTGGGGAGCACAATGTGAGCCCTGCTGTCTTCAGTGGCAAGCCCAGCTATAGAAAGCAAAACCTGTAATGCTACTGCAGATTTCATTGCCTTCAACAGCTACTAATAAGCCATTAAAAGCTACTTCAAATAAATCAAACTAAAAAATAGCCCTGAATTGGCTTGTGGCCTCAATACACATCAAGAATTTATGCCTGCCAGCCCAAAGTTTGTAGCAAGAGATGTTTCTTAGTGACCTGGGAGTAGGTATGTAAATAGTGAATTAGCAAAATGTCCGAATGACACAGAATTTTTTAGGTTACTCAAGACTATGGGGAGCTACGATGTGTTCCAGCAAGACATGACCAGACAGCATGATGGAAGATGAAATTCAGCATAGACATGTACAAGCTAATGCACACTGTAGGAAATAATTTAAGCTTTCGTACATACCAGGGGACTGTGAATTAGTGAAGAGGCATTATGGTGGACACACAATGCCTTCAGTGAAGCTGGATGTTCAAAGTACAGCCTGGGTCAGAAAAAGACTGAGGGAAAATTCAGCTATCTAAAGGTGAGTGGGCTGATACTTACATTGGAGAAACCTTCTGGGTCAGGCTGGAACATAATTTAAAGCTACCTGGGAATGAGCAGCTCTGGAATCAATTCTCTCTCTTTGCCTGAGCCAGGTCTTCCAGGGCTCACGTTTTACACATCGAGAAGGTCAGAATTAGTTGTCAAGTCTTGTAAAAGATCTGGACCTCACTGAATTCTTTATCCATCCATAAAGTCCTTGAAAAGTGATAGATATCCTGACAAAGGCTCAAACTTGGCAATTAAATTCCCATGAGCTAGAATTAGAAAAGGTGTCCCACTTACATGAATAGATTGCATAAATAGTATTTGGAGATAGTTTCAACAAGACAGGTTCCCTGGGTTTTGCTGTGAATGAGCTAAATGCACCTTCAACATGAAGCACTATTGCAGTGTCACCAATACCAAATCCCCCTTACAGTGTGGAGTGGGAAATAGGAGTCTTTATTTTTTTTTCTCTTTAAGATAAGGGGCATAAAACAATGGCTGGGAATAAAAGCCCTGTAAATTAATTTGTATTATAATATCTGCAACGCCTTTGGAAAGTTATGTGCATAATTTATGGAGGATGGTATGGATTGGAGTCTCAAAGCCCCTCAAACACGCTCATTCAGGCATGATTCAACACTAACTCTCTCAGACAGTGTGCAGATTGCAATAGTAAAAAAAAACAAACACTCTAATACTGTGTGTTACAATAATAAATGCGGGAATTAGAGGGTTTTACCTCTCTGTAAATAAATTATGCATATGTAGTTTTAAATTAACCAAATTAAATGATTAAAGACACTCCATTCCTTCATAAACTTGTCTCAGGAGTAAGGAATGCAGCATACAAGCAGAGGTCTCTGGTTCCTCTGAGCCTCACTGCTTCATTTGGAGCAATCTTAGATGCACTTCCTTTCCTCCCAGCTTTGCAAGTATAGAAGGCATTTTATTTTCCCTTCAGCTAATTATTTCAGATAAATGCAAGTGTTGAGACTAGAAGCATCGCATTTGTTTGCATCCCCTTTGGTGGGAGGTTGCTGGTGCTGGAGAGGTATTGTGGGGCTCCTCAGAAGTCAGCCTGCCCACAGCCACTGGTTCCAACCAGTGCCTCTGGATTTAACCAAGGGAGTCAAACAGGTGCAGCTCTTCAGGACTGGGCTAGCAGTGTAAGCGGACAACATTCCTGAAATGCAGGTCCATAGTGCCTCATCTCCACAAAGTATCGTTGTGCTGTTTTGTCACTGATGACATGATTCGTCATGGTGTGTGGCACCATGGTACGTGGTACCATGATTCACACTTGGCAGCAAATATCATTGCCCAAATGTGTGAGGGAGTTCAGGTCATAGCTCAACACACTCATTCCTTATTCATTTCATGAAATAGCACTGTAGCCTGAAGCCTAAACTCACCAGTCACAAGTAGAAGAAACTGCAGAGATCTGAATAGTGCTTCTTTCTCAGTATTACTGGTGTTGTCAAACCACTATATTACCAACAGGGCTTCACTCTGCTACATCCTAGATACCAAATTAGCTCAGTCCTTCCAGGGAATCTCTGGGCATTGAGATGGCTTTTGAGAGTATCTATTACTCTCAAAACACTTAGCTCAAAATGCCTTTTTATAGGCAGAGAAGCAGGCACATTAAAACAGAGCCCTTTCTCAAGATCACAGGGTAGGGCAGTGGAAGAGCTGGGATACTTGACCCTCAATGTGCTTTCTACTCCCAGGCAGCATCACCTCCACACACAGTGGTTGTTTTGTGAGCTGAGTCACTGCAAGATGTTTATACTTTGCTCAACAATCCCAAGTAAATTGGTTCCTAGACAGCTCAAGCATTTACAGATGTTAAAACTTACTCAGGCTGTATTAACAAAAGGGTCTACTGAAATCTGCAGGTTAAACAAAGTCAGGAAAAATCTACATAATACAGCTCTGTAGGGATCGGAGAAGGGGTAATGGGTTCACACTTAAACAGGGGAGATTTAGGTTGGATATAAGGAAGAAATTATTTTCGGTGAGAGTGTTGAGGCACTGGAACAGGTTGCCCAAGGAAGCTGTGAATGCTCTATCCTTGACAGTGTTCAAGGATGAATAACGTGGGCCTTGAATAACTTGGTTGAGTGTGAGGTGTCCTTGCCCATTGCAGGGGGGTTGGAACTAGATGATCTTAAGCTCCTTTCCAACCCAAATAATTCTATGATTCTATGTTTCTATGATTTTGCACATCCCTGCTAGGGAAGAGTACACAGGCTTCTCACTCCTTGTAAATGTATTTTAGTGCAGTTCTCTCCACACAAATTAGCCAAATGGTGATACATGAAGAAGCGTGAAGGTAAAAGTTTTAAGTGAAGATGGTGTGGGTATGTCACAGTTCACAGAACTTGTGAGTATTTCTTCTTTAATTGCACCTGTAAGTACAGTGTGCACATATATGCTTTCATTCACTTCATTTTGACTGTGTTTTCTCTTCTTGCTATAAAACCAGCCTCAGGCTTAACAAGTTGCATGTAAGACAGCACTATCTCTCAAATCATTCTTGGTATTTTGGAGAAAAAAAACATTTTCAACAGCAGAAGGAACTGACTCTACACATCCACGTCAACAGGGCTTTGGGAAGCAACTTAAAAGTACTGAGCAGTGAGATTGAGTTT